TTATGAGCGAAGACTAAATATATTGTTAACAATCATGAACCAGATAAGACGAAAGAAGAAGTTACGCTCATGTGTTTGCGGCATATTATAATAATACCGAAGAAGAACATAGAGGCGTTTTGATACATACTTAATTCAATCGCGTCATTACGATATCGTTTCCTGCTGCCGTTGCACTCCAGTCAGCAGAGACACATCATTACTTGAACAGAATAGTTAACGCCTCTTAGGTGTTCATATCTGTTGGGGGTAATTTAAAATGAACGTTTCGGCGTCATTTTATAGAAATCCTTTGGTTTAAGTGAACGTTTGTTGTTTGCTTTCAGCAAAGCCAGTTGGGCTAGATACCATTCAACGTTCTATTCGAACCAGCTAACACGGGTCTGAATGGCACAGGATGGTAAATACTACCTGAAACAGTCATAGAGTGGCAGTGCAGCAATCTGCTTTACGACGTTTAGCTAAGGATACGTATCGCGCGGGTTCCCTCCTACAAGTTGCATTTCTAATGCCACTTTTCTCTATTGAAATTTGGGAAGGGTTGAAGTAGGCGTGGATCATCGTTAAAGACTGCCGACGGAGAAAAGTTACAACCTTCCACTGTAGAATAGCCACTAGAAACAAGATATCCAAATAGCTGCTAAATCCACTTCCAGGACTAAACAATAGTTTTCAGAAGAGTAGCAAGTATTTGGTGTACCCTGTACAAATGTATGAAGCTGTTACGTTTTTGTAAATACGTTGAAGAAATCTTATATGCAGAATGTTTGTATTAAGCCTTTTAAAGGTACAGGCAAACCTTCATGAAAGGTTTTTGTGACAAAAATCTTTATAAAAATTGTAAGTACCTTCTGTTTTTGGGGACATGTGTAAAATCTATTCTATTCGTTACTAAACTAGAATATCATAAATGTAATCGCGACATCTACAATAACGAAGCCAACCTGTCAGGTACAGGACAAATCTTTAGGTTCAGACAAGATTTTCATCTGCATTAATTGGTAAGCTGTACCTTGCTGACATGTATTATCTGACCCGCAATGCCCTTGAAGGTTACGTTGCGGTAAGGTAACAGGTTTAGCAGACTGCCTAATAATTAAAAATGAAAAATCATTCACAGTGGCTAGCTTCTATCGAGAAATATACATGGTTTGAAGTAGCACTGGTATTACGTACCTTTTAACGAGCAAAACTCCACCTAACTTCGGTTACTTCACTTTTGTTAGCTAATCATAAAATCACTTATACTGGGAATCATTGAAAAATCAGTTGATATCTTTTTTGTTTATATTTTTTTGTGTAGATTATAGTAGGTATTAGATTTACTACGTGAAATTTGTATATCTGGTAAACAGTTTACTTTTGAAAATATGCAGTTTTGGAACACTGAATATATCTAATCTTAGATACATTTTATGCTTGCTTATTCCTGAGAAAGTATCGTATGAATATCGTTATAGATGACAAATTGTTGACCACTTTATGAGTCGTAGCCGTAGTGTCCCATGAAAGTCTCCAAATGGAAATTTCACCGAAAGACATCCATGGCTTTCGGTAGAATTTCCATTTGGAAAAAAAAAGCGAAGAACATATACGAGCTCGTTGTGCCATTGTGAATTATGTTAAAATGTCCGAGGTGAACAGGATTTTATAAAAAAAAAAAAAAAGAATTACAGTAGATGGGGTTTTATCATTCGGCTGGCATTTTCAATAGCTACGCCATTTGCCAAAAAGTACAATTACGAACAGGCGGTAGCGGAGTGTTGTTGATATAGGTCGCTTTCGAAATGAGGAAGGATCGGTTCATATGACTTGTTTTCCAAATGGGCATATGTACGGTCCTGCAGAAATCAGTACACCGCGAGCATGCGACCTATAAAATCTGTCCTACACCGACCTGCCAACCTTAAGCAACTAAAATATTAGACGAGCACGCATGTGATTCTAGCAATGACATTGAAGAGGTAACCAGGAGTTCTACCTGTACCCAGTTTCGCTGCCGTTTAATAACATTATTATGATATAAGATTATAATTATTTCAAATGACAATTACTAAAATTAACGATAGATTTAAATGATTTCGACCTAGTTAAAATAAGTTGTCAATTGTTCAAGCACAATACATTGCTATACGAGTTCGTAGGGCCAACTTTATTCAATTTGTATTGCGGACTTGCTATTTCCCGTCCACTTATTATTTTTGCCGTTCCCAAACGGGTCGGTGAAAATTCTCAGGCACTACTTCTCTGATTCATTTACAACATTAAATCTCAGAACTGTTTTTTATGGCGACACAATCGCTCGTGATGATGACTGTGAGCTGATGCTTCGATATATAATAACTAGTAATATTTTGATGAATATTGTTCCTTCTAGCAATAGCTATTGGAATCATTTTTTTTTAGCATGAAATCGTTCGTTACTTGGCCATTGCTTCTCCATTTTTCGGAAACGTGTTATTACCCCGCTTCATTTAGCTTTTAATGGAGTGATGTCGAAGAATAGAACAACAATAACTATCTTTATTCTGTATATGACAGCTGAACTCTTGGACTTAAAAACCATGCTGACTGTGTTTGAAGTCTGTGCCGGCCAAAGTAAACGCACAAAATTTAAGGTACAACCTCTAATTAACATACATGGCTGGAATATATTTACGAGGTATAATTAATAGCACTACCGCACTTAAGAGAGACTTCAACGAATCGCTTGATAAGCTTAGTTCTGTGTAAGAAGCTCGGCCGCATTTACTGTTCAGGGAAGCTTCCTGAATATTGCATTTAGATCGTGTACAACATAGGATTTATAACAAAGGTGTCCGAGATTCGTTATCGCCTGGCCGCTTGATGAAGCTTTCGCGTTTCTGATGAATGCAATTACATACCTTATGCCTAGCCACACGAAAAACGAGCGTGTGAATATAAACATATGCATTTTAGGCTTGTGTCGATCAGTTTCCTCAAATCAAATATTACAACACGTTTATGGAAACGACGGTAGTCGAATGAAGAAACAGCTGTTGGGGGGCGCATTCAATTGTAAAAATCTACATAAACATTTTCGAAAGCGAGCTCACTTCGATTCTGCATAGGTAAAATGTTTGTCAATAGTTGCTAGGCGACGCTAGATGCTAGAAAAGGAAGCTTAAGGGAGTGCTACAGACAGCGCTATTTTTTTTTTTGTAGAAGCCGATGGTGAGCGAAGATGATACACGATCGTAAATCGTTTATGAAGATACACAACCATAGATTAGTTAAAACAATTACTTTCTATTAACGATGATATGCATGTAAACCTATCGATGAAGTTAATTGTCGTAGTGCGTAGTTAGCACGCTAAAGAGAGATGCTGCATGTTTATGCGACCCCTGTTGACAAATAAGAACAACTGAGACTGAGTAACCCTTTTCTGAATTGTAAGACTCGATACTTTAGTTTTAAATTGCTAATGTCAGGAAATTTGCCTTTACAAAAATTGATATATTTTTTCTTGGCGAGCTATTAAAGAAAATGCTTAAAGTACGAGGTACCTACTTAAAATAGAAATTGCGAGCACAGGCACAATGTGTCGTACGATTTCCAAGGAATGGTCAACACTGCTAAATAAATACGTTCTTTCCCACTATTTATAACGACTTTATCTGCCACCACGACCTTACGTGCCACTAGTACATTATAAAATTGTGCACTGGCCATTTCGTTGACACCCAGGTAGCATCTTTATACGACTGACCACGAAACGGCTCACCATACGTTGATTGTTTCTTATCACCGAACCATATCTACCAGAACCTGGAACTGCATGCATACACACCTTGACATTTATCCCTATTCACATCGAATAGCATATTACCTAAAAGTCCAGATAGGGCTATTATAATAATAACTTAAAAAGTGGAGCCTTTTATAAAAGATCAGAAGAGCGCCAGTCTGATACAATGGTACATGCACGTAAGCGTCACAATCTGAAGGCTCACACTTTGATCTTTATGAAAATGTTAATCTCTATGATAAATTGAACCAAGAAATTTCTTGATATACAAATCAGTGTTTAAAGCAGCTATCTAAATCCAGTTTTTAGGATATAATAAGAAAATGCTCTACATCACCAAATCAAAACGTGTGTTTACTTATCCAAATGAAAGACAGTCACAATGGTTATACATTAAAATGGATATATCACGTTAATTGACTTAGTTAATCTTACTTGAGTTTACAAAAAAGACTTTTAGCAAAAAGGATTTTTTTTCTAACAACAAACAATAATAAAAACATTTTTGCTACGAGAACTCAGCATGAGTCTAACTTAACGAACAGATCAGGTGCAACTAGCTTCCACCTAAGTGAAACGAGTTCATATATATTAACTGTCGTAGTTGTTGGACCATTAGAGCGTAAAGTCCTGTGGCATTAAGCTCGCTCGGTCTCGTTATGTCGACCTATGCCATCGAATCCTATACGGCCGTATGGCTGCCTTGTGAAGACCTAAGAAATGGAGAGAGTAGCTCAGTAAATGTGTGCTCCGTTGTGTGTGCTTATCTCGTTCTGTATGGTCGTCTGCCTCCGCGGCGGCCCCGGCCGTCGTTGTTGACCATCGGTACGGCGCGCGATTCAAACTTTCGGAACGCCCCAGCTGTTATAGCCACAACTGGATATAACATGGCCAAATGTGTGCTACTGTCGATTAGCGAAGCCGACCCAATTTCACCTGGTCAAGCAGCAGGTCAGGATAGAGTCATGGGAGAAGGCCTAATTTGCGCTAGAAAATGGATACGACGCTCTTGCAGTAGTCACTTTCGAACTACCACTAGACACACCGCGATAGTCCGGAGGTGAACTGTGGCTACCAACAATACAACATATATCTCCGATCGAGCTGCCAGATCCGCAGGCCCTTACTGGCTTCCGGCTGTCGGACGGACTTATTCCGCTCTCCCGTTGATGCTGTGACTTCGGCGAGTCGTTGTGGCGTTAGCTGCTAACGGTAACTGAACACGAAAGAAAACACAACGTCCGGTCAGTTAGACACTAAGCCAGGTTGAATTGCTACTATTATGGCAGCGATCGCGTGCGCTTATCGAGGCATGCAGAGTCGTGAGAAAACGCTGAGCAAGCTCTCCAGACTTTTGTGGCTCGTACGGTTGTCATAGTTACACTACGGCATCTAACGTTGTTCTCCGTTAGATTGAGCTGCCGTTAATGCTGTTACTATGGCTGCTTGTGCCGCCCAGCGGTGCATAGAGCAAACCGTAGGGCGCTGGCTTGTAAACGCCGCCTACAGAGTAGTCAACGCACAGAACAAGCCAAAGCCGGCAGATCGACGTTGACCGCACCACGAGACCAACAAACAAGGCAGCGCTACGGCACTTGATCGCACCTGCAAGTGGAAGTGGGTATTTGTCAGTGGAGCTGTGGCAATGATAGAGTTCAGTGCCCCTCGTCTCGAACTGGATGAGCTTGGTCGGCTGAGGAGACCAGCATAGAAAGGCAACCGTGTCGCTCGCAATATCGCGCCGCTTCATTTGGCGCTACGTGTTGCACCCGCCCTGCAACTTCTCTGCAAGCGTATACTTCCATCCGTCGTTCGTTTGTTGTGTACGAATACGGCAGGACGACCGTGGAATAGAACCCTCCGTCATGAGTCGAGCTGATATTGTGATCGCCGCCGCAGGGAGACAGTCAACGTTCTTTGCCGGCCGATTCTCTGTTCGACGCGCACGGCGGTGTGGTCGTCGCGGTGGTAATGGCAGCGTGTGAGCACGGAGCTAGCGCTGATGATGAGCAGACCGCCGTAGAAGCAAACGGAACCAGTAGGAACCCTGATCTAAAGCATTCCCGCTACTCGAAGAGACAAAGAACAAAACAGCCGTCGCCGGCGACGACAGTGGAGGCCGGTACAACAAGACGTTGACTTGCTGCCGACGTGTCTTGTCGTTGCTAAGCTCTCCCCTTCGGGATAGCGGTCGTGGCGCCGCGCTTTCGGAAAGACCAAGCAGACTTCCAATATTCGAATCAACGAACGATCCAGGAGCATTCCGGCAACTCACGTTCCGGTGGCTGACGGTGCGGCACATTTTGCGGGCTGTAGAGTTCGAGCGCGTCTCAGCCCTTCTGTGGAAGGGTGACGGCAGCAGCGGCGTCAGTGACGTTAAACACAATTGACGAGCGCGACGTTTCAGGAACGTGGCCCGTCAAACTTAACGCCTGGCGGGAGAGAGAAAGAGAAGGAGAGGTTCCAATAGCACAACCGAACCCAACTGTTGGTGTTAAGTGGCTCTCTCGTACCGTGACAAAGGCACAGTTTATGCCAGTCTTTTTGGGGTCAAACAGTGCTATACAGCAAACCGCTAGGATAGATTGTCCCTATATATATGTATACATATATACATAACTAAAGTATATGTGTGTGTGTATATATATAGATGTATGCAAAGTTAAACATGCATCGTGTAACATTCGCGTAACGCGACGGCTCGACGAGAGGCGACGGCTAGCTGGGCTAGACTGGGCAGCATATTCGACATAATAGTAAGTACGGTGACCCGACGTGGTAAGCGATGCAGAGTACACATATAGTACATAATGGAGTGAAGTGTTATGTCGGTGCTACGACGGTGCTACCTAGTAAAGCAATCGTTAATGGAGTCAGGTGATCGTGATTTATTTGTAAGCGCCGAATAGTTTCAGCGAAGTCTGAATAGCACAGTTTGATGAGAAACGCTAATTTGTATTTTAGAATTAGCGAAATCTTCCAAATGAAGGGGTGCAATCAACCGTGAACTATTAAATAGCCCCTATATTACAATATCAACTGACGTTAGTTATGGTTATATATCCCTTATTATACGTTCTAGCGGCTAAATCGAGTGGTCACAAAAAATCATATCCGCCGGAGCGGCACGTGATGTCTGCCAACTAGGGTAACAGTACCGAAGGGGTTGGGGGGAAGCAAGTACATCGAATAGCATGCATGTTCATGAGTGACAGCCTGATCTTTATACATCTACCTACTAGTATATTAAATCTAATAGATCAGCACAGTTGCGATGACGTTTCAAAAGCATAAATACGCTCTTCGTAGATCTGTGGACTTTCCTAGCCAGTGTTTTGTTGTTCCAAAAATTTTCCTTATTTGTCCTCTGAACATGTTTACGACGCCACTCATACTGTCCGGCGTGCACAGTTGTGCCCCTTCATTTTGGCACTTCCACTCCTTACAAACCAGATCAGCCGCGCGCGAAATGTCATCACGCGGCATTCGTACCATAAGCGTTCAGTACGGAGATTGCCTCGTTGCCTTCGACGATTTTGTCCCGCCTTCTCTTCCCCATTTTGCGCGGGCGCACGTTTGCTGTTCGGACGCCCTCTAACAGCGGCTGCTAACTGAGGAGGGCCTTCGGCTAACCAGCATCCCCGACGAACGGCTGGACTAACGGTAGCCAGTCAAGCAGTTAACTCATGAGAGCTGAAAGCAGCAGGTTAAGGCAAGCAAAAGGCTACGGGAAAATCAGCTGCGTTTGATAAATAACGGCAATGGAGATAATAGTAACAGGATATTGCCGACAAGCACGAGCACAGCATCGGCCTTGAAAAAACGACACGTCGATTTCGGATTGAGCGTTTGCCCGGATTGCGATAGTTGAATATGGAACTGCGGGTGTGACTACTCTGTGACAGCGAGCGTATGGATGAATTTCATAACTGCGCTCTATGAATTCAAGTTACGAATAGCCCATGGGGCCGGTAAATAGGCGCTGTTTGTCGCCCGAACAACAGTTTTTGTTTAGCGGAACGGTCAATACCATTGCAATATTTCATCATGACCAGCTTAGAAGTAACGTGTTTATAGAGGATCATAAAGAGACCACAGAGCACGAGAGTGCAGCCGGAAACTGTTTAAATTGTTATTTAGATGCGACACGTAGTCGTGTGGCGTTTGTGATTTCTGAGTGGCGGGCAAATACAGAAGTGATTAGCGTGAGCAAATCATTGTGGTTTGCTGATAGGACGGCAGAACCTGAAAAGGGCTGACGGTCTTCAGTACGTGGGGCACAAAGACTGTTTGTCATTGCTTTTGCAGCCCGATACTGTTCGGTATCTCACTGAACCTCCTGTTAGCACTGTTACATTTTGAAACCGATAAAAGGACACTATAATCTTAAATTAATTAGTATAATAAAATGATAGGGAGCCACTAGTGTGTCCGAAGAGTGTTATTTGTGATTTAGTAGATGGTAATCTATCAGGTCACGTCGCCGTTGGCATGTCAGTAGAAAGCTAAGCGATAGAACTGTCAAGAAGTGTCGTTAAAGCCATCATACGATCTCTAAGTTTGCTTTATCTTAGAACAAGCATTGGATTTGTACTGAATAGCGATTACTGCACACCGAATCACATCTAAAGATAAACTTTCAACGTATTTCAACATTAGATAGCATAGCCCCATTTCATGCGTAATTCTTTTTGTAATTGTTCCCAATGATCCGCCAATGCATTACCTAAAAGTTCCATTTGTTTAGAATTTGCTCAAATCCTATGTGCGCCAAGTGCCCTTCAGTGCCTACCACTGCGTGTATGTAGTTGTACATTTGGTGATGCTCTTCCTGACGATCTCTTATTTTTTACTTGTGTATGTTATATTATACATGAACAAACAAAAGCTCTACAGTGCCACGTGTGCTCAGATAGTGTTCAAGCTTCGTTCACAAGGCGGCGATTGTGGATTCGGCGATCATTTACTGGAAAGGAGCCAGCGATACAGAAGCAGACACGCAGAGGATTCTTCATTAAAACACCACGGTGTCACGGAACACTGCGTAATTGCAACGAATATTATTAACTCGTGATCGAGATTCTAGTAACCTTCTGGTTAGTTTCAACGAGTGGCCATATTCACCATGGGTCTTGACAACAATTTGGGCGAAGCATGTGCCACGCAGCCGACTGGAATATCTGACGATGTAAAGAAACAGGGGAAAATGTTCAACAACTCTCCACCGGATGAAGATTTGAAACCGGTAGGTCGACACGACAAACCCAGTCAACTACGTCGGCGTCCCGAACAACCTTCACGGTCGTCTCTGCAATGGCCATCAGCGCAAGAGAGTCAAACCGCGCCCGAGTTGCAGACACAGCAGCAAAAGCACGCCTCTTCTGAAGACAGCTTACCTTTGCCAACATATGATGAGACAGTTACCGAATTTCGCAAGTATCTACACGAAGGCCACCGACCGGAAGATGACTTCGAGCCTACCCCGTGGATTATGTATTACACAACGGTGTTTAGTTACTTTGTGCTGTACATATTTGGTGTGATGCGGGACTTCCTTCGGGGCATCGGCATCGAGAAAGTCAACTCACAAATCGAGAAAAATCGCATAGGCTACCCACCTCTCTACCGTTCGTTTGACGCTTTCTACACGCGTAACATCTATAGACCAATCCGTGACTGTTGGAACCTACCGTTACTATCGGTGCCTGGCGCCATGATTACGCTTCGCGACCGTACATCCGATAACTATAACTGGACGTTCAGGTACCTTGACACGGAAACAACGTACATCAATCTCGGCTCCTATAACTACCTCGGTTTTGCCGAGAACAGAGGCGACTGTGCGAACCAAGTTCAACAGTGTCTTATCGAGAACGGGTATTCGCTTTGCAGTACGCGACATGAACTGGGCACGCACGAATTGCATGTTGAGCTAGAAAATTTGCTGGCTGAATTTCTTGGTGTTGACGCAGCTATTGTGGTAGGGATGGGTTTTGCAACTAATTCCACAAACATTCCCATTCTTGTTGGTCCTGGCAGTCTTATTGTCTCCGATGAACTGAATCATGCTTCGCTTTGCCTCGGATGCAAATTATCTGGTGCGACGACACGGACGTTCAAGCACAACGACATGAACAATCTAGAAAAGGTAGGCTATAAGGTTTAGGGATAATCTTGTTAGGCGCTCAAGGTATAATTTGTGTTGTGTATATTTCGTTAATAGGATCTTTTGAGGCGCTTTCGCAATCCCTTCGTACCTTGATACGTTTGCTAGTTTGTAATAATTACAAATCCAATATTGTCATATTAGGTTTTAGTAGAATACGGTTAAATAGAGCCATCTTGAAACATTTCCCTTGTAGTTTGCATTACTGGTAGTGGTAATTAAGCTAGTTTGCAAGGCGCTGTTGATGTCCTTGAGTTTTCGGCCTTGACTCCGACACAACGTAGCCTCCGATGCGCTCGCTAGCCAGCGCACGTTTATGGCCGAATCTGAAACCATGGAAACCAAACTGTTTGTTCCGACACTTAGTTGATAAATTCGCATAAAGATTACTCGTCGAGCGTAAACGTAAACGCAAAATACGGACTACAAATTATAGGAAAAGCATGTCACTGAGCCTTCAATATGTGCAGGTGCAGGTTCAACTGCCAGCGCATTATTCCTTAAAATAGAGATAAAATTGGTCAATTTTGAACCAATGCGTAGATACATCTTGCCTAAACATACACAAATATGTTTAGGCAAGGTGCAGAGGCACTTCTTATTGCAGTATATCTCGCCGTACTAGCAACGTTTTTACCACTACCAAAGATGACATCGCTTGCGACCTATTCGAGCAGAATAACGATTTAAAGAAAATAATAGTAATAAAAAAGATAACACGTGTTACATGTTGTTGATATAGAATGTCAATAGGTTTCCACTTGACAATCTTCATGAGTCTCGATTGACGGTTAGTGTTCCTCGTAGATAGATCTCACGTTTCTGCTTGTAGTCAATCGACTTCCATCTAGCTCAATGGCGATACGAGATAATCATTTCACTTTCTATTTCTTCCATGGGACAATTTAGTCTTAGTCATGTTTCAATCGTGTCTACATATATCGTGCGGCTGGTATTTGTTTATCTTGTCAATCAGATCCACTCCTTCGCTAGATCATTGATAACCGCAAAACGATCACGTGACAACACAAACTACCTAGGACCAATTCATTTGCGAATAAACACGGGCGAGGCAGATAGATTCATGCTTGCTTACACACGTAAACAACACGATGAAATCGGCCGTCGTTTCACTAGGCCAATTGGAAAATCAGTAATGATGATGTAAAGATGAGTTACCAACAAACGATGGTTACAGGCACGCAGGTAACAGGAATAGAAGAATTAACACAAACAACACAGGTAATACGCTGAAGACGGAAGTGAAACTATGCCTGTATAAGCAACTCCTACTACGATCCAAACGAGTGACAAAAATAATTTTTAGTTCGTTCTAGACAGGAGACATGCGAGGGTTCAAATCGCAGTAAGTGAATATGACGGTTTTAGTGGCATTGATTACTTCGACTTCTCTCATTTACTATTAAATCTATCAAGTATAATTGATAAAATGAGTACAAAACTAGTTTTCGAAGTAAAGGGGTACACGTGCCGTCTGCGAGCCAGCTTGGTAATAGAAATTTCTAACTTGCATGAGTCTACGGTGTCGTTAGCAGTAACGCGCTTCATCGAAGTTAACAATCGTTTTGCGAGAAGTTAACTACGAATAGGCTTGTCGTGATCGACATTTTTAACAACACAAACAACTAGGCAATGTCCTTAGCCCGGTCAATATGATCGTTGACTAGGTGACACTATATATAGGCCGTCGTCAGATATCCCATTAGAAACAAATGATGTGCTTTTTTTTTTATTTTTTTTTTAATTTTTTTTTTATTATAGAACTTCGTTAGTGCGAGCTAGTAGCATACGGGCACAATTCAAGTATTCTAAACTTTATTGATCTTGCTTGTGCACGCTTGGCGTGTTTCCGCTACAGGTACTGCAGAACGCTGTCTACTATGGACAGCCAAAGACCGGCGAACCTTGGAAAAAAATCCTCATCATCGTAGAAGGCATCTACTCCATGGAAGGAACAATTATTGATCTACCGAAAGTTATCGAGCTCAAGAAACGTTACAAAGCGTACCTTTACCTGGACGAAGCGCACTCTATCGGCGCATTGGGTGAACGAGGCCGGGGTGTTGTTGACTACTACGGGGCTGAAGCTAAAGACGTGGACATACTCATGGGCACCTTTACTAAGAGCTTCGGCGCTGCCGGTGGTTACATAGGTGGGCGAAAAGAACTTATCGACTATATACGAGCAATGTCATACAGTTTCGCCTACGCAACCTCGATGGCCCCACCAGTAACGAAGCAGATCATTGCTTCTTGTCGACAAATTATGAGTACGGAGGCCGGCGCCAGTCGTCTAAAACAGCTTGCTAGAAACACAAGGTATTTCCGGCGTCGACTTAAGCAAATGGGCTTCATCATTTATGGTAACGATGATTCGCCCGTCGTCCCGTTAATGCTCTATTTACCCTCAAAAATAGCAGCGTTTGTCCGCGATCTTATGGAGGAGAAGGTGGCAACGGTTGGCGTCGGCTATCCAGCCACTGCTCTGACGGAGTCGCGCGTTAGATTCTGTCTGAGTGCTGCTCATACGAAGGAAATGCTGGACAGATCACTTGAATGCATTGACCGCGTCGGAGATCGACTCAATCTTAAACTAAGCAGACGCAATCGAAATACAAGTGAAGTGGTGGTATATTAGTACGCGATGTATCTAATACTACTACAACTATATACATTTACAAATCACTATTATATTATGACAATTCTAACCAAGGCTGTGAGACTTAAAAGTTTTTGTCGAACCATTCTCGATACCTACATTTGCACACGCCCGAATAGAGAGAGACCCTTCAGATGATATATATAATTTTCTTCTCTAGATATATTAATGAAAGTGAGGCTTATTTATCTTCTGGACACACGAACACACGTACACATAAAAGAGGTGCCGCTCTAGCAAGATGGAATTGTTATGAGTAAGCTTGTATGCAGCTCATACGAGATCGAGGTGTCTTCTCTTCTGACGACGCAGAAAAGTGACACGATGGAAGCGATACAACAGCTAAAACCTGTACAAGGTCACATGGGTCCTCACCGCAATCGCTCACACCAACAGAAGACGTTTACAAGTTTATGCTGCTGGGTTTAGCGCGCTGCGTTTGCTACGTCATTTTTTTGTGAATCGAAAGGTTATAAAATTCCTATTGAAATGCATCGTAACACATTGTTATCTTCTAGCCCACTTTTCTCTTCGTCGTATTCAAAATAAAGTTACCCACTGTTTGCTGTTGCCGCGAAGCATGTGATAGAATAGTAGTCAATAGAACTGATAAGAGTAAACCTAAGTGACGAAGCAAAAGATTGGCTGCTGAAGGCAGAACATTGGGCATCTTTATTCTACTTTTTATCAGGCAATACACAAGGCTCTGAATGTCAGACGTGTTTTGCAACTGGCTATTAGCGCAACGTTTCAAATAAAATATATCAATGAACTATTCAAAAAAAAAAAGACAAAAAGCTTGTAGCTGCAACAACAGCAGGAAACGACGGCGATCTACAAAAGCAATTCTATCGAATTAATCAAGATTTATAGGAAGCGATGCTGTCTTTGAGTAAAAAATAATAATTCCTCTTTCCCGGCTCGTTCCATACTTTGTAAGCATGTTCCGATGAATCGATCTCTACTGGTTCGGTGCGACGATCCTATTCTTAGTGGGTAAATCCTAGCGTTGGGTTAAACATGACAACAACTGCCAGAAGTGTTACTTACGTATGCCAGTCTAAATCTGTGAGCAAATGTTTATCATTGAATAAACCTGTTTTTCTGTGCTTATATGAAAAGGGCAGAGGTTTTTGACTAGGTGCCCCTTCCCCGCTTTAGCGCCTGAGAAAGACTAATAGACAAAAAGGTAAGAATGCAACGTCTGTACATTTTGTATGAATATATATAATAATTAAAAAGATACTAAGTAATAACACGCAAGTCATTACAGGGTAAGACATCTTGCCCGTTGTTGCAAACGTAACGATCTTAGTGAACGTATAGTGTAATGATAATCGTACACACAAGGGAACAAAAAATCGCAGCAATGATAAAATGATTATAATAAACAATGTGTTAATGCTACGAGTGCTGAAAGACGATGAAGCTATTTAATGATAAGTTCAGTTCCAGCTGTAGTAGCGTACGTGAAGGCGTGTTTGTATGTGATTCACTTGTGGTCTGAAAGGATCGCGTGGAACAACCACGTGGAAGAGTAATATGGCAGGGAGTAACAGGTAACGAATCACAGAAGCTGTAACCTGACAGGAAAGCAGAAGCTGCAAGAAATCTAGGGCGTAAAGGACGACCTGATCAATGCCAATATACATCGTCATTGTAGTATCTCAGCGCCGTTTGAGTGCCTTAGGGTCTAGGTTGCGTTTGCTCTTCTCGGCTAACTCTTCCAGATCAATTAATGAACTAGAGTACGTTCCGGTTCAGATGAATAGTGCTTGTATAAATCACACCATGCAAATTTCGACCAGAGCGTTTACCGGTCGTAGAAACAAAATATGCTGCTAACTTCCGTCTCCTTAGCCGTGGCGGTACGTAATATGTGGTACGTTTTAGCGAACATAGATAATACACAGAATAATTCAGGGTAACTGACAGCTCGTAGAAGCTCGAATAGTACTGTAGGTATTAGATATTTAAGCGTAATTTGAATATTAAAATTTAAGCCCGGTGGGCAACAGCGGGGTCACGTACAGGTAGACACGGACGATCCAAATGTTTATCACTTGATCACACAACTTGAAACTTAAACAACAGGAAACGATAACAAAATAACCGATACTGTCGTCTGTGTTGATTATGAACGAGGAAGTCATATGCGAGTAAAGGACGGGCAACCTACCCTCGTTTTACTCCCAATAGCTACGGCAATGGATCCGGTCCGACAATCGCAAAGCATGCTGCCATACTTAGTTATGCAACCAATTCGACTAGTTGCAAACTTTAGTAGATGAGTTTCAGTGAATGAAGGAAGGAAGGAAAAGTTTAGCACTGTTCACTAACCTGAATCAGGTAACCTGTCAGATTCAAAGTCCGCGCAGACGGAAAGTTGTACCCGATTGGTACTTACCGATTGGCATTACGATTGCGTACGAACGTTGATACTTCTATGAAGTTAAAATCGTATATATATATATATATATATATATATATATATATATATATATGATGGAGTAGTCGACAAGTTGTTATGAAAACATCCATCAGTAGAATTTTGCCAGTATAAGGCCGCAGTTGTTGTCACTCTATGTACATATAGCCCATTGGGTCGTTTGATCTGGGCCGATCGGCTTTACTATCGGTTCCACTACTGTACATAACTTATTTTTAAGTTAACAAAGAAACTACATTCAACTGAACTATGTGCTGCCAGGCAGTTTCTGGTGTTATAAGGAAGCACGGCGAGCATTAGATGTCGACAACGATGTATAGGTATGCGTGTGCGTAATTTTCCCCACTCGGAAGAAAGCTGACCCTGTCAAATTTATAAAGAATGAAAAAAGCGTCTCCGCCGTAATATGTTTTGCTTTAGATTAATTCTTACAGCTTAACATAAATCTGTTTCCGTTCTAGAGCTGGTATCATGGTTTAGCCCAAGCATTATATTTCGGATCGATCAACAAGACAGTTTGTCTGAAAAAAAAATGAAATTCCCATCGATCTCTTCCCTTCTGAGTGTCTCTATTGTAACGGGTACCTCCCCGGCATGGGCGGCCTGTCTAGCTTCCACTGTTAGGCTCATTGGTTTCGAAAGATGTAATAGCAGGAATTACTAAACGAGTAAACGCTCGTCTGAAACACGTTGGTAACTGCATCACGCACCGATACATCGAACAACACGCGGTACGTGCTCACGCAAGAGCTATCATGATTGCAATACGACTGCCATACTTAAACAACATGCAGAAATATACATTTCTATATAAATATAGTTGTGTGCCATGGTCATGACGAGGCAATTGCAATGCAGAAATGAATGCAATATCTAATAAAAACGAGAGCAAAATCAATTGGATTGTATCGAGAGTAGACTTTCTCTTTTTTTTTTTTTTTTTTTTGTTGTTCTTTACTCTCTAACGAGACTTGAACAAGTAACTAATTGAACTCTCTTGAGTAATTATTTTAACTTTAACTGCGGAACTTATGGTATCCACAGAGTTCAACGCAATATTTCTAATGAGATAAAATAGTGCTAGTTCACTTGGGCAGCCACAGAGGGCATCAAAAAGTTCCTTAGTTTTTATTTCATATCTCGCAAATAATAATTGGTTCGAACATCTGCGAACTGGGCTAAAATGAACATATTAAACGCATAGCCTTTAGATGGTACATGCAAAATAATAGTATGCTTTAGACGGTATCTAAGTTCTTCTAATAGCTCCTATTGAGACCTTCGAAAAGCGACTACTGAAATAATGTGCGGCACAGGAATCAAACCGGGCAAATTTCGCTCGATGTTTGTCGTGACAGGCGTGCGTCTATCCCCCATTAGTCATGCCGAGACCAAAAACGATTCTTTTCAAAACAAAATAACAGGGTCGTCACAGCGGAAGACAATGCGTCATTTCTCAGTGTTAAATAAAGATCAGCTGATATCGTTACTTGCTTTACTAACAAAAATCGACGGCGTATTTTCGGCTCTCAGGCCGTTTCTGAAAAATCCGAAAAGCATTTCCATGAGGCAAACTGGCAGACGCTTAGATTTGAAGGGCCCAAAAATTTACCGAAAGGGTTAAATAGGCCATCTTTGATATATCCGGATCTTTTATAGAAAAATTAACAGCCGTTTCGGGGGATGGTGTTTTCCAAGTAATTTCCAACGAATAATTCTTGCAAGACTTTCTCGCGCCTTGTTAGACCTTTTGGATTTTTTTTTTAGCGATACTGATTCAATTTTTTGGGAGCTTTCACTTAGTGTCAGCCGACGATTAAGTTACGCTGAAATTTTTTTGTGTAGCGTATTCGAGCGACCCACAGTTAACGCTAAAGAATCGCAAATGGCCAATGAGTAGCTTTGCCCAAATCGAAGCCTTAATTGCGATAGATGGTAATAATGTCGAATAATAATGACTCTCATGCAAAAATTTCGTTAAATTATCTGCTGGTCTTCAGACAGAGTCTTAGACAAGGAACGTAAAAAAAATTCAGGATTCAGGCAGACATGTATCCTGTATCTATAAAAAAAAAAAAAAGGAATCTCTAATCAACCAAGTTCATTCAGTCAAGTCTTTAGAAAAAAATACGTTATCTGTGATGAAATTTTCCGACAGCACTTGTATAACATTCCAGATTCCATCTAAAAACATACAACTGCTTGCAATAAAACAGCCGTCCCCTGTGTCGCTATTGCGACCCTACGTTGGAAGTCAAATGTAGCTCCGCTCCGTTTATAATAAGAGAAGCACGCCTGCATACACATTTGATCAGAAGCATTTCCAAACGTTCAATTTGCACGTTACTACCCTTTGGTCGGCTTTAGTTGTCAGGTATGTCTAGCGACGGCTGAAACACTTTGAAACTCTCAAGACAAACAAAAGTCATGGCTAGTGATTCGGCAGTAGAGGCAGTCTTATGCATCAATTCTATATTTGCAACTAGTTCTAGTTCATGCTGATTACTTAAGACTCTACTCCTCGTTCATTGTTTAGGTGAATCTGAATCGAGCAGCTGCTGCGGATTACGGTGTTGTACCTTTAGCGTGAGCCCTTAGAAGGACACGCTAAACTGCGTTTTACCAGCGTAAGCCTACGTGTTGTATGAGCCTGTGGCGGATGCGACCAGGGGCGCAGCGCTATATAAACGGCAGAAATAGATAACGCCCCGTTACTTTTTAAGTAGTGGTCGGTCGCGCGATGTTTACAAATGCAATTTAGATTATCCTAAAGATGAATCTGGTCCTTACTGGTAGTAAATAAAAATAGTAAAAGTAAATAAAGAAATATATAATATTAAGAAGATTATGTTCAAAATGTATTTCTTCATTACGAAGGCGACCGTGATATGCCGTGTTTGCTAATTAGCCTTAGAACTTTCTGCCAAGGTCCTTTAAAGGCAGATATCACGTTGCCACAGCGTAGACTAAATTATGACCTTATTCAAAGTTCTGACAAAACCTTTTCAAATGAATGTTCATGAATGGAAAATGTGTATAAACTTGATGTTGATAAATTACAATTAATTCCATTGACATTATAATTCCACGCTTTGGAAGAGATCGATCGCCCGTGAGCTTTGACACAACATAGCAGAGTGCTTAGTAGAAGGCTTACACTATTAGCGTATAATAAAATAAGCTACAATGCTCAAGCAGACTCATTGTGGAGCAAACATTTATAGAATGGGCGCCATTTTTCTTTTCAACGTAGAAATAATTTGTTCATGTACATTGTGCTCCTCGCTAAGATACTCCTAGGCAACTCTTCTATTCACACTCCCGCTAAGAAACATGGCGACGCATCGATAGGATAGTGCTTCGGTGGTGCGTATCGATGCAGTACGTGGCACCCGGTGTTGTTTCAGCGTATATTTCCAAGCTAACATAGTTAGTCTTATCGATTACTGTCTATAGATATCTAGAACTACGATAGAGTACTCTTCTTTGGTAATGATCTTCTGATTCTTTGATAACGCGTAATGATCCTACGGTCGCGATTTGAAATGTTTGTTTCATTCGTTTCCGAAATGACCAGATATTCTTAGGCTCGGTATTCTTAAAGCGCTGATGCAACTTTTTCTCTGCGTCCACAATATTAGGAAGGTCCAAATTCACTATTTGAGGAGTCGAAATGATTCGTCCTACTCCTCTAAGTCTTGCTACCAACGTGCCTTTGTACACATATACCTTATAATAATTAAAATAAACATTGCACATTTTTTTCGGCTTTCCCAACCCCCCTATAGATCAGTAAAATAGGATAGGTTCCTAAGCACACAAGCAAATTGGACCCTACCTGATTTGGTCGTCTAGCAAATCTGGGCTGTCATAACATACATGTTTACTGCCATATTGCATTTCCTGTCGTCTACGTCCCAGCCGTACGGGTCATTACAGAACAACGTCAAATTTATATTCTAATGTAGACTGAGATGTAGCAGTTGTTTTACCACTTCCTCTATCGACGCTCTACGATTAAGTAGCGGCAAGACAAGATCGTAATTCTTTCTATCTGTCTGACGCATGGTGCCGTCCCTAACACTGGCGATATAGCTTCCATACTGAGAAAAACATCAGCTTTCATAATGCTGCCCTAGTAATTGTACTGCAATATAAATCGAGCTATATTCAATATAACGATCACTTTCGAATCGAGCATCGACCGAAAGATAACTGTTAACCGTTTTGTTCTATATATATGACGTAAACTTGTCTGATTATGATCAGGAAAGATAAATACTGCTATTAGTCACAATGCTTTTGTTACATTGGGGAGTGTCTATAGGGAATGGCTATATATTTGTGCCGTTTAATAACGTCTGTTTCCTAGCCCAGAAGGTAATTGCAGGGCGAATTCTGGCTTGTTGGGTCCGATTATGACCCTTGTTGATGCCTAACGGCGTAGAATAGGCCCTATTATGAGCATGTGTATGTATCACGTGTCCTGTAAGCTAAGTATGGGTTAACCGGGCGCAAAATTTATTTACTTTATATTAAAGGATGTTCCTGTTATATTCTATAACTTCGAGCACCCCTATTCGAATATAGGGAGAATCTATAGGAGTAAAAATTATTTTAAAGTGATTGTGTTTTCGATATAAGTCAACTTAGTGAATGTAACAGGGTCACTTGCAATGGGTCTGCTCCATTTTTCAGAGTAAATATTTTTGGGTAGTTCAAAAAATAACACTCTAGACAACGTTCTATTTAAATTTACATAGTCACTAAAACGACTTCTAACCATTTACTCAGTAAACGCGATTACTATAGATAATTTAACACCAATCAGACTCGTATACGAAATTTATAGCGCCGTAGCGCAATACGTTTGAACTTTGAACATATTGAAAATGATGCATTGGCCCTTTGTTAAGATATTGTTGACGAATTTAGCTTTACAAATAACGAAAGGTCAATCTGAAGGCAAGAATAGGACCTTATCG